GCAAAGCATAGAAGGAGAGTTCTATTTAGGGGCATTTGGAAATCTTCTTTGGGCCACACTGAGGAATCAAGTGGTTCAATTGTTCTAAACTATAAGGAAAAACTGTACTGGTACTCACAATCTTGCAAACTAACATTTCATTCTTTTTTTAAATATTAAGAAAGTCCTATTCATTTGCATTCACTTTTAGTGGGGTTGGGAGTGGAAGAAATAATACAAAAGGCAAAGTTTTAATTTTGATGAGGGAAACATTTTTTTTCAAGGTTCTTCAGAGAACTCGTCATTATTTCCTGTTCCAAAGTATTTTATTTTATTACCTGTAATAAAACACATTATGTCATACTGTGGTACACGTTTTCATTAGAGGGTCTCAAAGCAAGACAGTGTTTAATTAAGGGCCCAGTCACAGGTTCAGGGAGGTGACTGTGGGCCCAAGCAGGAACAAAGCAAATCTGCCCAATAACTTAGAATATGATGGAAGTTTTGTGTGATGGGAAAGGACTCAGGAAGGAAAGTGGCCATCCTGCTTCCCCCTTAATGAGAACCTTCTCTCTACCCCAGGGGCTGGGCAGGGCTGTTAGCAAGTGAGGTCAGATCCAATCCAAGGTGGAGAGGGAGGAGGGCAGCTGGGGACCTGTGGCTTGGAACAGAGGTAGGGCAAGGAGAGGGAGGTGCCGAGAATGGCTGTGGAGGCCCTGCCTGGGGAAATCCTTGGGGAACACAGGGGACCCTGACTGGCAAAGCTGTTGCCTTTCTGCCCTTCCTGCTCACTTCCCTTCTGTTATCACCATTCAACAGCCATTTTTTAAAATTTTTTAAATTTTTATTTATTTTTTTAACTGAAGCCCTGTTTCATGCCAAGATCTCAGCTAGATGCTGGATTCCAGACAATAAAAGCAGAATAGTTTTCAGGAACCCTGAAGTCATTTCTGAGGAGCAGAGTTCTAGCGACATGAACTGTGTTGCTCCTTAAGGCACAGAGCCTGTATTAAGGAAGGTGAGATTTAGGGCCCAGAGATATGAGGTGAGTGAGATGGCTGCCACTGGGGTAAGATAGACTGCAGCCCTTCCCCCCATCCACAGTCTCTTACCCCACCCCCAACCCCAGTGGACCCACTGGGTAGGGCTGGGAACCAGGTATCCACTCAACCTGAGGAAGAACTTTCTGAGTCAGAAGTGTCCAAAGATAAAATGAGCTGTGTTGGGGGTGGCAAACTGCTGGCCACTGGAGTTATTGGAGAGAAGGCTGGATAGTTACTGGTGGGATTGACAAGATCTCTTCCATACTCACGATCTATTAATCCCCAATGGGCTGGTCTCCTGGAGATGGCAGTTCCGGGTGAACTAGACTGCTCTGCTCTAGTGGGTCATAAGGATGATGAGGTCTGATCAGGAAAGGGTGGTAGGAGAAAGCCTGGTGACGAAGGAGTCGGGAACTGAGGGTAGGAGTGGGAGGGAAGGGAGTATATAGGGCAACCATAACAAAGTACCACAAACTGGGTAGCTCTAAACAACAGAAATTTAGAATTTCACAGTTCTGAAGCTAGAAGTCCAAAACCAAGATGTCAGCAGGGCTGGTTCCTTCTGAGCACTCTAAAGGAGAATCTGGGGGCGCCTGGGTGGCGCAGTCGGTTAAGCGTCCGACTTCAGCCAGGTCACGATCTCACGGTCCGTGAGTTCGAGCCCCGCGTCAGGCTCTGGGCTGATGGCTCGGAGCCTGGAGCCTGTTTCCGATTCTGTGTCTCCCTCTCTCTCTGCCCCTCCCCCGTTCATGCTCTGTCTGTCTGTCCCATAAATAAATAAAAACGTTGAAAAAAAATTTTTTTTAAAAAATAAAGGAGAATCTGTTCCGTGCTTCTCCCAGCTTTGGATAACCCCTGTTTTACCTTGGCTTATAGATGCATCACTCCAGTCCTCTGCCATCACATGGCATTCTCTGTCTTTATATGGTCATCTTCTTACAGAGATACCAATCATATTAGACTAAAAGCCCATCCAACTCCAGTATGACCTCATATTAATTTAACTAATTAGATCTGCAATTACCCTATTTCCACCTAAGTTTACACTCTGAGGTACTTCAACATATCTTATTTTTAGGGGGACACAATTCAATCCATAACAGGAAGCAACTTGGTTAATCTCTGAGACTTCTACCTTTGCAATCTGTACAACTCCTGATGCTGACACTGCATGGTGAGAGGCTGGGTAGGGCTGGAGTGGACACCACTCCCACTGTTAGCCCTAGCTTGACTATATACAACACGGTTCTGAGATTGTTACCAGAGCTTCAAAAAATTCTGCCCTTTCATTCCACAGAATCTTCATCTCCTTACAACATCCACAACCTGGACACCCGCATATCCTGTGCATATCCTGACACCTTAGAGTCTCAAGCTGTCTCCTTTTATCAAAGTCCTCTCTGAGATCTTTCCTTCACACTCAGGCATAGAATAACTTGGGGAGGATGTGTGTGTGTGTGTGTGTGTGTGTGTGTGTGTGTGTGTGTGTGTGTGAGGGTTTTGTTTGTTTCTCCTTTGGGATTCTTCTTAGAACCACCTAGACAGCACCCCAGATTTCTGGCCAATTTTATGCAGTGTTGGACAACTGGGTATCTTAAATGAATTTCCTAAAATTTGTAGGGAGACACATTATAAAATGCAATTCTAGAAAAATTTCCCTGCAATATTTTTCCATGGGATTACAAACACATAGGGAGAATGTGGTAAAATGGGGGAAGACCAGACCCAGAAACACCAGAGGTCAGAAGTCTCAAGTTCTATGACCGCACACTACAATTGACATTAGTGGTTGGGTCACTCTTCTCTGTCCTTTAGCTATGCCAATGGTAAAACTAGGTTAGACTATTTCAATGCTGGTATTCTATGATTTCATAGAAGTCAATATTCTGTGATTTCAAAGCAGGTCTCTAAGGAGCATTCTAATGCAAATATTCCATGAATTTATAATAGCTAAAACATTTTATGCGGTTAAATGGAAATAAAGAGGGGACATATATATCATTTCTCTGAAAATCAGATAGTATCTTTGGGGAATGATGTCACCTTGAGCGTCAGTTTTCCGATCTATAAAACAGAAATAACAATATGGACCCTATAAAGTGGTGGGAGTGAGAGACCTGTAACTCGCTCTCCCTCTCTCTCTCTCTTCCTCCCGATAGGCAAACCAGAAACCTCTGAACCTTCTCTAAAACCGCTCCTGGGCTCTCTGCGACCGAGCCCGGGTAGGATCGAGAGGACCAAAAGACCAGGAGGGGGCGGGGCGAGAACAAGAGGAGGTAGGCTTTGTTCTCGCCCCGCCCCCGCCCCTCCCTAGATATCGCGAGAGGGCGGGTCCGCTTGGCTTCGGCTTCGGCGTCGGCGTCGCTCCCGCGCTGGGGCAGTAGGCCGGCTTCTCTCCGCTGGCCGCGGTTAGGTGTTGGTGGCGAAGGGCCGCCAGCCGCGCGGCGTCGGCCCTGGCGTCGGGGTCGTTGTGTCGTCACAACGACTCCGGTAGTCGTCTCCGCGACAGCAGGTGCGGCCGCTTTAGCCCCAGGCGGGCTCCGCGGCTGCCTGGCGAGTCTGTGCACGCGCCCAGCCCTTTCCTTCCTGGACCCAGCGCCAAGCAGCGACGCTGAGCCGACCGCCGGAGCGGCGGGCAATGGCGGCCTCGACGGCCTCGCATCGGCCCATCAAGGGGATCCTGAAGAACAAGAGTTCTACGACTTCCTCTGTGGTGGCCTCGGCCGAACAGCCCGGCCGGAGTGTCGACGAAGAGCTGAGGTGAGAGCCGGGAGCGACGGCCGCGGGTGGGCCTGGGAAGCTCCTCCCCGCTCGGGCGGCCTCGCCTTCCTCCCCGCCGCCGTTACCGGCCCCGACCCCGAGCCTGAGCGCTGACCGGCGACCGGGGCAGCTCTGTGGATGCGGCTCCGGCACCGCTCGGGTGTCCGTCCTCCGGCCAGGGTGCCGGCTAGAGTGATTTAAAGAAGACAGGAGCTATGACGTTTATCATTTTTGTTTTTTGTTTTTTTCTTTTTTAAAAGTATATGCGCAGATGTAATATTTTGTAAAACAAACATCTGATCTTTGAACTTTGGGAAATTAGG